CTCCATCTGAAAAAAGGTTAGATGTCTGTCATCCTGATTTTCTGGCTTCAATACTTGAATAAAAAGTTCAAGGTGCTCATATTTCATTGGTTTTATGCTTGTTTCAGCTCAGGGACTCAAAAAATCAGTAACAGCCAGGCAATTAGCATATTCAGGCTGTCACCAATGGAAATGGAGGCCCACACATATCAATCAGTACAGGTTTCTTTAAAAATAAAATAAAAAGCCTGATCCCAAATAAATGGCTGCACCTAGCGTACAGACCTGACGTGTGGATAATCTTATCACCAGAGTTCTCAACAGATATAAATGCTCATTACATATCCTCTAGCTCACGGGTGTCAAACTGCTGGCCCACCAGATGTTGCCAAACTACAAGTCCCATGAGGCATTGCAAGACTGACAGTTACAAGCATGACTCCCAAAGGCAGAGGCATGATGGCACTTGTAGTTTCGCAACAGCTGGAGGGCCACCAGTATGACACCCCTGCTACATGACCCATTGGCTACCCAAACATCTCAAGCAGCACTAAATCTGGCTGCATTGCTTTTATAAGAGCACTCTAAGAAAACACACAGCAGAACAGTAAAATGCAATCTCTGTGCACTAGTACTAAAGAGGAGATCCAGCATGTATATGTAAGAGAAAAAGAGGAACATATTTATTCTGTAAAGGTTTAACAATTTAAATGTGTTTTTAAATACGTTACCAGTGTAATGGTTTGAATTTATTTGCACATAAAAGCTATATAAAACTGATACAAAATAATGGAGTTAAAAGAACAAAATGGATAAATACATTCTGTTTCACCTGGGAGGGGTGTTTCCCATTGTTCAAGTTTTATTATGCTAGAAACATTCTAAAAATCTTGACAGCATGGTGTCTATCACCAGCCACCTGCTCTGGGTATTATGGAATTCTGGGGAAATCTGGTCTGGTTGCAGGCATCTACGTTGCTTCAACAATGAGTTCCTAGGTGCACCCATCTGGATGGATACTCCCCGTATGGATTCTACATATACAAATCACTTCAGGAGAACACTACTGTGAAGACCTTGTGGGCAGCAGCACAAAACTGCAAAGTGAAATGTCACCAATGCAGCCACTGAGAAGGCTAAAGGGGGCTCTTACACAACACTCATTCATATGGGCAGCACAGTGGCTATGGGCAGCACAGTGGCTAAATGGTTAGCACTTCCGCCTGGCAGTACTAGGATCGTCGGTCCAATCCCAACCACGGCACCACCTGCCTGGAATTTGCATGTTCTCCCTGTGCCTGCGTGGGTTTCCTCCGGGTACTCCGGTTTCCTCCCACACTCCAAAGACATGCTGGTAGGTTCATTGGCTCCTGTATAAATTGGCCCTAGTATGTGTATGTATGAATGTGAGTTAGGGACCTTAGATTGTACGCCCCTTGAGGGTTAGGGACTGATGTGAATGTACAATATATATGTAAAGCGCTGCGTAAATTGACGGCGCTTACAAGTACCTGAAATAAATAAATAAAATAAATATGCCCTGTAAATTAAGCCCACAGTGGAAAAATAATGGGACAGCATGACATCATCCTATCTGTATGCCTTTCAGCTGCTGACCAACCATTCCTCTTACAGATATGTACGTCCGATTTTCTTATCAAGTCTATTGGCCATTAATCCCTGCGCTGCCAAAATAAAAGCCAGTGTAGATTAGAAGCCAAGAGGACAAGGGGGCACTCTTTACGTCTGAAGGAAAAGAGATTTAATCTGCAAAACATGGAAAGGTTTCTGCACAGTGAGAGCTGTGAAAATGTGGAATAGACTCCCTCAAGAGTTGGTTCTGGCCAGCTCAGTGGATTGCTTCAAAAAAGGCCTGGATTGTTTCCTAGATACACAGAATATAACTGGATACTAATATTTATAGGTAAGTTGATCCAGGGAATATCTGATTGCCTCTCGGGAGATCAGGAAGGAATTTTTTCCCTGCAGGAGCAGATTGGATCATGCTTTGCTGGGTTTTTTTGCCTTCCTCTGGATCAACTCTGGGTGTAGGATAACTTTTTTTTTTTTAATGGTTGAACTAGATGGACTTTTGTCTTTTTTCAGCCATTCTAACTATGTAAGAAGCAAAAAACAATCAAATCCAGCAGCCAGGTAACCAGTGTACCTAACTTTTCTTAGGCTTGCATATGTTCCTTGGCTTTTAAAACTCTTGGGTGGGTATTGAGGGGCACACAGTACAAAAGATAAATGAACAAAAAGGTCAAATTAAAGTGTTTATTGAACAAAGGTATCAGGTGAAACCAAAAGGTTTGGGGAGACTATGCTGCCATTCTGCAATAAGCCCAAGTTTGACAGTTTGGATCAAACCCTTACATAAGTCTCCTGATTGTATGTTATTGTGAGCCCATTCATACCCACAGTTTCAGTCCTGAGGAAGGGGGAGGCATTTCCCTCGAAACATGTTGGCTTCATCGGATAACGTTGGTCAACAAAACACTTCTTTTTGACCTTTTTGTGTCATGAACTTTTCTACTGGGTGCTCCTCAATACCCAACCCTAGAGCAATGCCATCCATGGAGTGTTCATCTAGAGACCATCAGAAGGGAAGCAGTCCAAGACCAGAACAAGATTCATGTACATGGCACGTTCAGTGCACATCAGCACCCGTGAAGGAGGACTGAATTCTATGATATATCCAACAATACCAACACCTCATTCCTATTAGCCCAGAGCTATCAAACCTACACATTTGCTACACTGATCAGCCATAACACTATGACCACTGACAGGTAACGTGTATAATGTTGATCATTTCATTACAATGGCATCTGAAAGCAGGTGGGATATATTAGACAGCAAGTGAGCACGTTGTCCCTAAAGCTGATGTGTTAAAAGCAGAAAAAAATATGGGCAAGTGTAAGGAATTGAGCAATTTTGACAAGGGCCAAATTGTAACGGCAAGACACCTGGTCAGAGCAACTCCAAAACTGCAGCTCTTGTGGGATGTTCCCAATCTGCAGTGGTCAGGACTTACTACCATTGGGGAAGGAAAACCAGCAAATGAAGGTCATAGGCAACCAAGGCTCATTTATGCGCATGGGGAGGGAGGGCTGGCCTGCATAGTCCAGTCCAACAGAAGAGCTACTGAAGCTCAAATTGCTTAAAACTGAATGTTGGTTCAGATAGAAAGGTGTCAGAACATAGTGCATAGCAGTTTGTTGCATATCGGGCTGCAAAGTCACAGACCAATCAGGATACCCATGCTGACCAGTATCCACAGCAAAAAGGTAATACAATGGGCATATGAGCATCAGAGACTACGGAGCAATTGAAGAAGTTGGCCTGATCTGATGAATCCAAGAACAGTTTGAAAAACACAACAAGTTTGAAATGTTGACTTGGCCTCCAAATTCAGAATGAAGTCCAATCCATGGAGAAGCCACCTCACAACTTACGGGACTTAAAGGATTTGCTACGGACGGCTTGGTGCCAGATACCACAACATATTTTCAGAGGTCTAGTGGAGACATAATGTTATTGCTGATCGGTATTATATAGATTCACAACATGTGCCATTTTCTACGATTATAAAAATTAATGCTGCAAAAAGCTGGAGTCAAATGTAAAGCATTCCCTGCAATAAGAGTTGCTCAATGGCTTTGGATTAGCACTTCTGCCTTGCAGCACTGGGGTCCCTAGTTTAAAACCCAGTCAGCACTTCTGTAAGAAGTTTTCATGTTCTCCCTGTCCTAGCATGGATTTCAGTTACAGGTACACTTTCCTCCCATACTTCAATACAGGCCTGTAGGTCAATTGGTTTAGATTGTAAGCTCTTTGAGGTCAGAGGCTGATGTGAATGTACAATATGTAAAGCGCTGCATAAAATTTATGGCACTATATAAATGCCTGTAATAAATACATTTTTAGTGAGGTCATTTGTAAGAATCTTCTACAGCAAAGGGTATGCAGATGGTGCAACTTTACTTATTACAGTGCTGACTAATCAGGTGTCAACAATGGTTCTCTAAACGAAAAAACCTGGGGTTGCACTTTAGAAGTTCCTGCTTGCTTCTGGACCTCATTGACTAGTTCCAAATTTCTATATTTATTTGACCACCTCTGGGCATAAGCTACACTATATGGCCAATAATATGTGGACACCCCCTCCACATAACTGAGTGTAGGTGCACAAGGTCAGTCCAATAAATAAATGGCTTGATGAGTTTTGTGTGGAGAACTTGAATGGCATGCACTTAGCATTGACCTCATTCCTGCTTACCACTTTTAGCCTTGATTCACAATGATGCGAATTGTCATGCGATTTGACCAATCAAATCGCATGCAATGATTGCCAATGGAAGTGAAGTCACACAATTTTGAAGTTGGATCTAGTGTGAACCAGGGCTTAGACTAACTGAAATGCCAAATGCAAACCAGGTGATATCATCCAACAACAGCAGCTGAGTTCACTAATGGCTCCATTGGCTGATTGAGCCCACGCTGCCAAAAAACATCCCAAAATCTTATGGAAAGCCTTCCAAATAGAGTGGTAGCTGTTCAAAATGCAAAGAAGGAGGGACAACCCTATAATAATGCCCATGGGTTTGAACTGGGAAGTCCAACAAGCTCATGTGTGACCATCAGGTGTCCACATATTTTGGCAAATGTTTGGTTTACAGCCATTAATCCAGGCAGTACAAGTTCTGGTTGGCCACAGGATCACAGGTTGCTCATGCATATTGAAGATTGTTTTCAATGAGGGTGTTTTTTTTTTTTTAAAGCAACTTTACTAGCAAGGTGGACCCATAGTGAAAACTTCAAAAAAGGACATTTATCTCTGTGATACACCAGTGTTCCACCACAAATTGCCATAAATGAGTCTTTGTGTCTGACAAGTCCTCTAATCTCTTGCCAAACAGACTGACATTTAAAGAAGACCTTTTTTAAAGGCACGATTTCCTGCTTCCTGCTTGAATTTCAAGTTTCAGTTCAAGTACTTGACAAAATGGTAAAGTGGTTCATTCAGAGGTCGCCTTCTTCCCCTCAGGTTCACGTTTTGACCAATACTCTGTGTAGACATCATCAAAGAGGTCCTTGCACGGAATGGTGGCCTTAAGCTTGGCACAGATCAGAAATGAACCTGCCATTTTTCGGTGCAAGGAGTATATTTCTTCAGGTGGAGGGGTAAGTCGGTGCTTCAGCAGCACAGGAATCAAATCGTGGATCCTTCTGGTTGTGTTCTGTGAACCAAAATTGAATGGCTCCTTAGAAGCAAAGGCCTCTCCTAGGATCATGACAGCATCTACATGTGCTTCTTCAAATACCTGGAGAACAACACAAAACCAACAAACACTGGTTACTCACAAGGTACAAAAGGTATCCTTAGATAAAAAAAAAGTGCAGTGCTGGTGAAAATGACATAGGACAATAGAAATATCTCTGATTCTAATGCATAAAAATAATTAAACAGTGACTTGAGTGAACAAACATCGAAAAAATTATTTAATATAATATTAGTGAAGCGCTCTGAGCCGGCGCTACGGTGATAGACAGAAAAGCAAAAATGAATGAATGAATGAATGAATATAGTGTAGCGCTAGAATACAGCACAATGGCGACAAAACTCTAGATCTAGACTCCAGTGAACAGATCAACAAATATAGCAACTCAAAAAAAAAAAGACCAATAAACAATTGTATCAAAAAAAGTCCAAAAGATGATCGTGGCATCATGTGATAGGCAAATCCATGACAAATTCTTTCTAATGTACTCACGAGAAGCTCATATAAAATGCGCATTAAAAGCAATGATAACAAACTCCAACAGGTCAGCCTTATTCACCACTGGACACAGGTAGATGGAATGTACAGCTGTCATGCATCAGGAATGGGAGATACCTCTAAAAGATCGCTCAATCCTCAGCATAAAAAAAATAGCCCCACTTTAAAGGGACTCACAAAAGAGCCTAGAGAGAGAGAGAGCACCAATGGTGCAGTATTTTTATTGCAATTGTAAAAGCATCCACGTGGAGCAAAACAGATAGGTAAAACCATTTACAAAGATGGCCGCCGGACCATCGTATAGACGCAGCGGCGTGACGTCAGCACGTAGGCCCCCTCTGACGCGTTTCGTGCACACGCATGTTATCAAAAGGGATCCGCATCCTCAAAGGTATCCGAGTTTGGTTGGTTAAGCTGGCCATACTGCCAACAAGCTTACTGAACAACCTTGTTTAGATTTATCTAAACTATGTAATATGAGGGTTTTCCAAACCATGATTTTAATATCTAAATCAGAAAGGCCCATTCACTACATTGTTGTTCCTTGATGTTAGCCCCCATTAAGGCTCCATGCACACTGGCTTTTACAGTTTTGTATTTTGCCTGTAGAAGCAGCTCAGGGTTTTCCTATGTGTCTATGCATATTAGGATGATAAGAGGCATATTTTAAGCTCAACCTTTAAGGCAGGAAAAAAAAAAACCCCATCTGGTTTGCATTTTTGATTGGAGCATTCATGCTAAACGATCCTAAACTCACCTAAAACAGTGTACAAAGATGCTCCATATTAGGGTTTTTTTTTTCTGCCAAAGGCAACTGGCATTTTTTTTTTCTTTTTTAAGTCCAGTGTGCATGGAGCCTCATACTTGATCATTTTTCTGCTCATTTTCCTATGCCTGACTACATAGAATCCCATTCTTTCCAACAATCTCTGTTTACACTTGTATGCTCAGACCCCCCCCCCCCCCCCCAAGTGCTACTCAAAAAAAATACATGAGCTTTTTTATGAGTGTATTCAGGAATTTTTTGATCCTATAGACCAGTGGTTCTCAACCTTTCTAACACCGCGACCCCTTAATACAGTTCCTCATGTTGTGGTGACCCCCAACCATAAAATTATTTTCGTTGCTACTTCATAACTGTAATTTTGCAGTAGGAGGAATAGTGCCACGTCATTGGTGTCAGTGGGAGGAATAGTGCCCCGTCATTGGTGTCAGTGGGAGGAATAGTGCCCCGTCATTGGTGTCAGTGGGAGGAATAGTGCCCCGTCATTGGTGTCAGTGGGAGGATAGTGCCCCGTCATTGGTGTCAGTGGGAGGAATAGTGCCCCGTCATTGGTGTCAGTGGGAGGAATAGTGCCTCGTCATTGGTATCAGTGGGAGGAATAGTGCCCCGTCATTGGTGTCAGTGGGAGGAATAGTGCCTCGTCATTGGTGTCAGTGGGAGGAATAGAGCCCCATCATTGGTGTCAGTGGGAGGAATAGTGCCCCATCATTGGTGTCAGTGGGAGGAATAGTGTCCCATCATTGGTATCAGTGGGAGGAATAGTGCCCCATCATTGGTGTCAGTGGGGGAATAGTGTCCCATCATTGGTGTCAGTGGGAGGAATAGTGCTCCATCATTGGTATCAGTGGGAGGAATAGTGCCCATCATCATGGTGTCAGTTGGAGGAATAGAGCCCCATCATTGGTATCAGTGGGAGGAATAGTGCCCCATCATTGGTATCAGTGGGAGGAATAGTGCCCCATCATTGGTATCAGTGGGAGGAATAGTGCCTCATCATTGGGGTCAGTGGAGGAGGAATAGTGCCCCATCATTGGTATCAGTGGGAGGAATAGTGCCTCATCATTGGTGTCAGTAGGAGGAATAGTGCCTCATCATTGGTGTCAGTGGAAGGAATAGTGCTCCATCATTGGTATCAGTGGGAGGAATAGTGCCCCATCATAGGTGTCTGTGGGAGGAGGAATAGTGTGCCCATCATCGGTATCAATGGGAGGAATATTGCCCCATCATTGGTATCTGTGGGAGGAATAGTGCCCCATCATTGGTGTCGGTGGGAGGGAATAGTGCCCCATCATTGGTGTCGGTGGGAGGAATAGTGTCCCATCATTGGTGTCAGTGGGAGGAAATAGTGCTCCATCATTGGTATCAGTGGGAGGAATAGTGCCCCATCATTGGTGTCAGTGGGAGGAATAGTGCCCCATCATTGGTGTCAGTGGGAGGAAATAGTGCCCCATCGTCATTGGTATCAGTGGGAGGAATAGTGCCCCATCATTGGTATCAGTGGGAGGAATAGTGCCCATCATTGGTATCAGTGGGAGGAATAGTGCCTCATCATTGGTGTCAGTGGAAGGAATAGTGCTCCATCATTGGTATCAGTGGGAGGAATAGTGTCCCCATCATTGGTATCAGTGGGAGGAATAGTGCCTCATCATTGGTGTCAGTGGAAGGAATAGTGCCTCATCATTGGTGTCAGTGGGGGGAGGAATAGTGCTCCATCATTGGTATCAGTGGGAGGAATAGTGCCCCATCATTGGTATCAGTGGGAGGAGGAATAGTGCCCCATCATAGGTGTCAGTGGGAGGAGGAATAGTGCCCCATCATTGGTGTCAGTGGGGGGAGGAATAGTGCCCCATCATAGGTGTCAGTGGGGGGAGGAATAGTGCCCCATCATAGGTGTCAGTGGGGGGAGGAATAGTGCCCCATCATAGGTGTCAGTGGGGGGAGGAATACTGCCCCATCCTTGGTGTCAGTGGGGGGAGGAATCGTGCCCCATCCTTGGTGTCAGTGGGGGAGGAATAGTGCCCCATCGTTGGTGTCACTTGGGGGAGGAATAGTGCCCCATCGTTGGTGTCAGTGTCAGTAGGAGGAATAGTGCCCCATCCTTGGTGTCAGTGGGGGGAGGAATAGTGCCCCATCCTTGGTGTCAGTGGGGGGAGAGGAATAGTGCCCCATCCTTGGTGTCAGTGGGGGGAGGAATAGTGCCCCATCCTTGGTGTCAGTGGGGGGAGGAATAGTGTGCCCCATCCTTGGTGTCAGTGGGGGGAGGAATACTGCCCCATCCTTGGTGTCAGTGGGGGGAGGAATACTGCCCCATCGTTGGTGTCAGTGGGGGGAGGAATACTGCCCCATCCTTGGTGTCAGTGGGGGGAGGAATACTGCCCCATCCTTGGTGTCAGTGGGGGAGGAATACTGCCCCATCCTTGGTGTCAGTGGGGGGAGGAATACTGCCCCATCCTTGGTGTCAGTGGGGGGAGGAATACTGCCCCATCCTTGGTGTCAGTGGGGGGAGGAATACTGCCCCATCCTTGGTGTCAGTGGGGGGAGGAATACTGCCCCATCCTTGGTGTCAGTGGGGGGAGGAATCGTGCCCCATCCTTGGTGTCAGTGGGGGGAGGAATCGTGCCCCATCCTTGGTGTCAGTGGGGGGAGGAATCGTGCCCCATCCTTGGTGTCAGTGGGGGAGGAATAGTGCCCCATCGTTGGTGTCACTTGGGGGAGGAATAGTGCCCCATCGTTGGTGTTAGTGGGAGGAATAGTGCCCCATCGTTGGTGTCAGTGGGAGGAATAGTGCCCCATCGTTGGTGTCAGTGGGAGGAATAGTGCCCCATTATTGGTATTAGTGACACCAATGATGGGGCACTATTCCCACTGACACCAATGATACTTACCTTGCTGACCCTGCTCCCAGCCTGGGCTCGCTCGCTCGCTCCCTCTCCCATGGTACACACTTACCTGTCAGCTGTCTTCCTTCTCCGGCCGCTCTCCTCCTCTTCACTCGCTCCATCTTCGCGGTGCCGCTCGGCTCCTCCTCTCCAAGCTCCACCTCCTTGCCAGTGATTGGCCGCCTGTGTGCCTCTCCTGAGCTACAGTGCCGGCGGCCAATCACAGGCAAGGATTGATCTCGAGGTGTGTCCAGATGACAGGGGCGGCATGTCATCCCGCCCACACCTGGAGACGGCGGCGGCGGCGGCGAGGAGCGGTGTCTCGGTTCCTAAGACCATCGGAAATATGTGTTTTCCGATGGTCTTAGGCGACCCCTGTGGAAGCGTCGTTCGACCCCCAAAGGGGTCGCGACCCCCAGGTTGAGAACCGCTGCTATAGACAGTGATGGAATCTCCTGTAAATGCGTGATTTTGCATGTTTTTTACACTTGGGGAATTCCACTCCTCTTGCCCAGCCCAAGAAATGAACTCCTGAAGCTTGACAGACATGCAAAAATGCCCAAATTACATCTGAAAAAAACACTTCAATATCACCAGCTGTACGTTCTGTTCGGCTTCACAGAACAGGTACTGGATCTGCTATAGGACATCCATGGATGCTCCATTCTTCACTCCACAAAATGCTGCTGGTTTGTTAAATAAAGAGTATGTAAACCCCGAAATGAAATATCCCGAACAGCAGATAACCCTCAATTGTATATGTTAAGGGACCCATTTTTGTAATTGAAGCTCACCCTCTTCTTGAAAATGTCAACTGTTGATCCTGCCAGTCAGAGGTTTCCTGACCTAGGCTGACAATTCTCCTATACAGCAGGTCTATG